GATTGTGATTAATTTATCCAGTCGATCGATTGACCGATCGGGGTCGGCGTTGAGAGATAGGGACAGAGGTAGAGAGAGAGAGAAAGAGAGAGAGAGGGAGAAAGAGAGCGACGAGAAAGCCACGAGAAAGTGGAGGAAGAGAGAGAGGAAGTTTGTGTGTCTGTGTCCGTGTGTGTGACATGTGGATTATGTATTTGTGTGTGTGTGACATGTGGATTGTGTGTGAAAACGGTTAAAAAGTTTAGAGGGAGGAGGGATGGTGTGCACCCGCGCACCAACCGATCAATGTATTGGTTGACTGACATATAACCAATCAATCAATCATCAGTCACAAAGATGGTACGGGGTTCACAACACTCCAGATAGATCTTTACTCTTTCTCTCCCCCGCTCTCTCTCTTTCTCTCTCTCTCTGTGTTTTATTTTGAACTTGCGTTTTGACTAAGAATTCAAGATGGCCGTGAGATAAAGGTTGTTTGTGCAGAGATTATTCACAAAGATGCAACTATTTCCAAGATTTAAAAGACTCTTTAAACCAATGTCAGAATTCACTAGGACCGTTTGCTGGAGTGATTGGTTGAAAGATTGATTGATTGATTGGCATGCAATTAATCAATCAATCAACCATTCAACCAATCAACCAATCATGTGCGTCTGTATGTCCATTAGAAACCAATTTTGAAGTTATAGGCCTATATGCCTCGATTCACTAGGACCGTTTGATGGACTGTTTGGTTAATCTCTTAATTGATTGATTGACAATCAATCAATCAATCAATCAACCAATCAACCAATTATGTGTATCCGTATGTGCATTAGCGTGTCAGTGTGTGTGTGCATGTGCGTGGATTGAATGCATATGAGTGAAAGATCTCTCTCTCTCTCTCTCTCTCTCTCTCTCTCTCTCTCTCTCTCTCTCTCTCTCTCTCTCCCTCCCTCTCTCTCTCTCTCTAGCTGTGTGTGTGTGTCTCATACAAACACAGACACGCACTCCCTGTAGTTTTTTTTTGTTGTTTTTTTGAAACTCAAAGCATTCAAGTTTCCAACAGAAGATCGAGGGCAGGGACCTCACAATTCAACCCGGGGTATCTGACAGTATCGGCCACCTTAGCTTACAGCCACAGGCCTGCGGAGAGGAACTCTTATCCTCTTTTTAAATTTATATCGCTTACCGGAGCAGCTTCTGTCCAAGTGTGTGCTTGGTTGGTTGATTGATTGCAGGCATGCAACCGACCAACCAATCAACCAACCAATCAAGTGCGTGCTTGTGTGCATATGCGTGTGTGTTCGTGTGTGCAAATGCGTGGATCAATCAATCAATCAACCAACCAACCAATCAACCAATCATGTGTGTGCATGTGCATGGATTGAATGCAGACGCACACAATGAACGTAGGCAACCTCGGACAAAGGTGCTTCTTGACCCTTAACAGTTTTGGGAACACTTTTCGATGTGTGGTTGTGTGTGTCTGTGACTTTGTTTGTGTGTGCTTGCGTGTCTATGCCAATGTACTCGTGTGTCTGTGTGTGTGTCTGTGTATGTGTGTGTCTGTGTGTGTCTGACTGCATGCGTCTGTCTGCGTGTATCCACGACTGACGCAGGCGAAAGTGATTAGATTCGTTTGTCTGTGTGTGCGTCTATGTTTGTTTGTGTGTGGTTGTTTGTGTCCGTGTGTGTGCTTCTGTGTGTGTGTGGCAGGCAAGGCAAAGATGCATGCAGGCCTTAAACACTTTTGGGACCACTTTCAGGCCACTGTCTTTTTGTGTTTGTCTGTGTGTCTGTGTTTGTGTGTGTGGTTGTCTGTGTGTGCGCGGTTGTGTGTGTCTGTCTGTGTGTCTGTGCACCTGTGTGTGCGTGTGTGTGTGTGTGTGTCTGTGTCTGTGTGTATCTGTGCGTGTGTGTGTGTGTGTTTCTGTGTGCGTGTGTGTGTGTGTGTGTGTATCTGTGTGTGTGTGTGTATCTGTGTGCGTGCGTGTGTGTGTGTACCTGTGTGTGGTTGTGTGCGTCTGTGCCTGTGTGTTTGGTTGTGTGTGTGTGGTTGTGTCTGTCTATGCATGTCTAACTGTGTCCTTCTGTGCGTGTGTCGGTGTGTAAACTCGACTGGCACATACGAAAGTGATTATAGGCCTATAACAGTTATGGGGAATGTTACTTTGTGTGTGTGTGCTTGTGTTAGTCTATGCCAGTGTACACACTCAAAGACACACACACGGAAATAGGCACAAACACACAGAAACACATGCTCATGAAAACACGGGCACGGGCTGAGTCTGTGTTCGTGTGTGGTACACAAAAAACATACAAACACGGACACGGACTGTGTCAGTGTGTCCGTATGTGTCAGTGTGCATGTGTTGTTGAATGTGTCTGTGTGTGTATGTGTATGTGTCTGTGTCCGTGTCCGTGTGAGTGTCTGTGTGCGTGTGTCGTTGTGTGTGTCTGTGTCCGTGTGTCTGTGTGTGTCTAACTGTGCCCTTGTGTGCGTGTGTTTGTCTGTTAACTCGAC